AACTACCAGTTGTTCAGGAATTTCCAGAAGTGTTTCTAGACGATGTAAGTGACTTACCTCCCGAGCGTGAGGTAGAGTTTACTGTTGACTTGATACCGGGCACTAGTCCCGTGTCGATGACTCCTTATCGGATGTCTGAATCTGAGTTGGAAGAATTGAAGAAACAATTGGAAGAGTTGCTTGAGAAGAAGTTTATTCGATCGATTGTTTCTCCGTGGGGTGCTCCTATGTTGTTGGTAAGGAAGAAAGATGGTAGCATGATATTATGTATGGATTATCGACAGTTGAATAAAGTGACGATCAAGAATAAGTATCCAATTCTGAGGATTGACGATCTGATGGATCAATTGGTGGGTGCTTGTGTGTTCAGAAAGATAGATTTGAGGCCAGGTCCGTGTGAAGCCTGATGATATTCCGAAGACAACATTTGGGATAAGGTATGGTCATTATGAATACACGGTGATGCCATTTGGTGTATCTAGTGCACCTGGTGTATTCATGGAGTATATGAGTAGGATTTTTCATCCTTATTTGGATCAATTTGTGGTAGTATTCATCGATGATATCTTGATATATTCGAAGTCCGAGGAAGAACATGCGTAACATCTAAGAGTTATATTGCAGGTTTTGAGGGACAAGAAGCTTTATGCCAAGTTGTCCAAGTGTGAGTTTTGGTTGAAGGAAGTGAGTTTCCTTGGTCATGTGATTTCTAGTGGAGAAATTGTTGTTGACCCGTCAAAAGTTGATGATGTATTGCAGTGGGACGCTCTAAAGTCTGCTACTGAGATTCAAAGTTTCCTTGGGTTGGCTGGTTATTATCGTAGGTTTATAGAAGGCTTTTCGAAGTTGGCATTGCCATTGACTCAGTTGACTCGGAAGGGTCAAGCTTATGTGTAGGATGTTGCATGTGAGAAGAGTTTTATAGAACTAAAGAAAAAGTTGACAAGTTCTCCAGTATTAATCTTGCCAAATCCGAGTGAGTCTCTTGTAGTGTATTGTGATGCATCGAAGATGGGTCTTGGTGGCGTACTGATGCAGAATGGTCAGGTCGTTGCTTATGCTTCCAGACAATGGAAAGTTCATGAAAGGAATTATCCTACGCATGACTTAGAGTTGGCCGTTGTGGTCTTTGTGTTGAAAGTTTGAAGACATTATCTTTTTGGGTCCAGGTTTAAAGTGTTCAATGATCACAAGAGCCTGAAGTATTTGTTTGATCAGAAAGAGTTGAATATGAGGCAGAGGAGATGGATTAAACTTCTGAAGGATTATGATTTTGAATTGAGTTACCACTCTGGTAAGGATAATATTGTAGTTGATGCATTAAGTAGGAAGTCATTGCTTATGTCGATGTTGATGGTTCGAGAGTTAGGACTGATTGAACAATTTAGAGATATGAGTCTAGTATGTAGATGTTTGACTTGCCAGAAGTCGAAGATTGAACATCAAAGGTCGTTGGGTATGATGCAACCGTTGAATATTTCAGAGTGTAAATGGGATAGTATTTCTATGGATTTTGTGATAGGTCTACCGAAGACTTTGAAGGGATATGATTCAATTTGGGCGATTGTCGATAGATTGACCAAATCGGCTCATTTTATACATATGAGGATCAATTATTCATTGAAGAAGCTGGCTGAATTGTATATTGATGAGATTGTGAAACTACATGGTATTCCTTCAAGTATTGTGTCTGATAGAGATCCGAGATTTACATCGAGGTTCTAGGAGAGCTAGCAGACAACTTTGGGTACTAAGCTGAGGTTGAGTTATGCTTATCATCCGTAGACGGATGGACAAACAGAGAGAACTATTCAGTCTTTAGAGGGTTTGTTGAGAGCTTATGTGTTGGATCAAGGTGGATCATGGGATAGTTATTTACCATTGATTGAGTTTACCTACAACAATAGTTACCATTCTAGTATCAAAATGGCACCTTATGAGGCATTGTATGGTAGGAGATGTAGGACTCTTTTGTGTTGGTATGAATTAGGCGAGTCTTGTACTCGGACCTGAGATTGTGCAAGAGACGACTAAAAAGATCAAGATGATCTAAGAAAAGATGAGAGTGCCGCAGAGTCGTCAGAAGAGTTACCATGATAAGAGAAGGAAAGCACTTGAGTTCCATGAAAGAGATCACATGTTTTTGAGAGTTACGCTGGTAACTAGTATTGGTCGAGCTTTTAAGTCTAGAAAGCTCACACCGCATTTGTTGGTCTGTATCAGATTTCGCAGAGGGTGGGAGAAGTAGCATATCAGATTGCTTTACCGTCATCTCTTGCGAATTTGCAGGATGTGTTTCATGTGTCTCAGTTGAGAAAGTACATTTTATATCTGTCACAAGTAATCCAGATGGATGATGTACAAATGAGAGATAATTTGACTGTTGAGGCATTGCCAATTTGGATTGATGAACGAGAAGTGAAGAAACTGCGAGGTAAAGAGATTTCCTTGGTAAGGGTAGTTTGGGGAGGACCAGCTAGAGGGAGTATGACTTGGGAGCGTGAGGATCAGATGAGGGAGTCGTATCCGACTCTATTTCCTTGAGGTAATTTGCGAGGGCGGAAATTCATTTAAGTGGGGGAGAGTTGTAAAACCCCAAATTCTTGGAATATTTATTTTATTTATTTAAATATGAATATTCACATTTTTGGTGATTTTCAGTGGTTGGTGTGAATATTGGGAATTATGGATTTTGAGTTATTTATTTAAATAATAGTATATAATATGAATATATTGGTATTATTATTAATTTAAATAAATATAAGTGATTTAAGGGTAAAATGGACATTTGAGGAGGAGTTAATGAGGGTGAAGTTGGAAAGTCCAATTTTAAGGCTCAAAGTTAGGTTTAACAAAAAGGAATTTTGAGGGAATTAGGATTCATTCTTGTTAGACCGTGAAAAAGGAAGAAATAGAGGTCAGAGCTCTGAGGAAGAGGATTGAGGCAAAAGCTTCACAAGGTTTCCAAGAATCAAGGGAAATGCTTAGAGTCGGCAATTAAGGTATGGGGAGTATTGCCTTCGTTGTTTTCAATATGTGATTCAATATGTTTGAAGTTGATTTAAGGGTTTAGAGATTTTTGATTGAATTGTTGTTGCCTTTCTAATGGTGAGTTCAATGAGTTGAGGGATTTGAACTGATGGTCTGATAGGTTTGAGGCTGATTTGAGATAAGGGAAATTAGGCCTTCGTGGCCAAAATTTGTTGTTGAGGTTTTAGCCGTATAGGGAAATTGATTGTGAGAACCTTAATGACTGTGGGGTATTTGTAAGGATTTTATGGGAATTAGAGGCGTAAAAATGATACGGGATTGGCTTAATAAGTCGTAGATTTTGTGCTTTTATCGCCGTAATACCTTAGGAATGATTTAAGGATGTTTTGGGGGGCATTGGAGAAGAAAATCGTAGAGGTTTTTAGACTGATTTTGGTGTTTGTGTGTAACAATGATTTGCTGTAAACGCGAGTTCGCACGACAAACATTCACCCCAGATTCGCACAGCAAACTTGCTAGCGAACATAGTAGAGTTTCACGAATTCTGATCTTGTGTAGTGATGTCTTGATGTTTTGATGCTGTGATTTCTTTGATGAAATACTATGAGTATGACTATGATTCCCCTGTTGTTATTACATGATTTTATGATGATTCCTATGAGTCATGATGATGAGTTATGATGTTGATTCCATGAGTTTTAATGATTATATGATGAAGCGATTATTATTATGATTTTGATGAATGATGATACACCTAATGAGTTTATTATGAGGATGATATTGACGTGTGCATCATGCATTCATATGCATCCGGACTTCGGTTCAGGACCTTGATTTTTGTGGCTTCAGTCCCATTGTGCGGATGTGAGGTATTTTGTTGTGCTCTGTTTCTCGAGTAGAATAGATCCTACTGTTGTGGATCTATGGAGGGTTGATGGCCCATTGTCAATCGAATTTTGTTGATTGGTACCACATGCATGAGTCTTGTTGCATTTGCATTTATGTGACATTTTGATGTAATTTATAATGTTGTGGCATTTGATGTTTCTTGATGATTATGATGATGTCGAATATGAAAATGACGTCATTTTATATATTGATTCCTATATTGATTATTATGAGTTTAAACCATATCATGTGAAACTTAACCGGAGGAGATGCTAATGGTTCGTCGTCAGGAATCACTTTTCAACGTTGAAAATCCCTAAAGAAGAGAATCTTTTTATTAAAGAAAAGATTATATTTAAAAAAACTTATATTATGAAAACTTTCAATATATTTAAAATAAAAGAGTAATTAAATTAAAATTTAAATATTATAAAACTTTTGCTTTGAAAAATAAACTTATAATTATAAAATTAGTAAAACAATAGCATAAATTAAAGTTTTTAATATATAAATAGAAAAATAGAAAGAAAAAGAGAGAGAATTTTCCAAAAAAAAAATCTCATTGTAGAAAACAATATTTTTCACTATAATATTTAATTAAAAAATAGAAAGAAAATAAGATAGTTTTTAATCCTATATATGTTTAGTCCATTCAATATATAAAAAAAAATTTAAAATTAATTATTTATGTTTTTAGTATATTGAATGTACATATTATTAGAAAAATATGTATTTATATTCTTTAAAAAAAATATTCAACTTACTTTTTTTTATAATGACTAAATCGGGAGAAGATTTGATGTGGTACTAAACTTTGATAAAAAAAATCTTAAAAAAATATTTAATGTATTAATTAGCCTTATTTTAAGAAATATAATTTAAATGTTTTTAAAGAAATATTTAATGTATTAATTAGCCTTATTTTAAGAAAAAATAATTATGATTATGGTATAAAATATCTTTATATGGTCGGTCCATGCCAATTAAATCTATTAAATTGTTATTGAATAATTTAATTTACTTTAATTTAAGGCTTTGAGAATTAAATATAAAATGGCTACTTGGTATTGAAACTAGAGCAATCACTAAAGATAAAGTTGGTGAAGAAAAATTAAGAAGAGATGAATAAGATGAGTTATTTCTCTTACTTTCTGGTGGTTTTTGTTTTATGTGTTTCATCCTCCTATGCAGCCAAAGAAGTAGATGTGGATACTATTTGCAAGGAAGTGAGTAATTCTACATATTGTTCAGCTCTTCTCAATTCAAAATCTGGAGAAAGTCGAGATCTCATTAGCTTTGCAGAATACGCCATTGAAGCAGCTCGTGTCAATGTGACCAACACACTCGAATTAATCAAAAACCTAATTGCGAATAGTGGTAGTAATGTTGAGGCAAAACGACATTACGAAATGTGTTTATATCATTTCGATGAAGAGTATGCCCTTGGTTTGGTTAATGAAGCTCTAGATTATGTAAAGAGTGGAGCTTACGAATCCGCACGTCAAAATGCATGGGCTATACAAAGTCATGCTACTGATTGTGTTTCAGGAGAGTCACCTGGTGAAACTCCTTATCCTGATCCATCACAGCTCCCAAATTATGCTCAGCTTGTCACTCAAACTTCTGAGATTTTTGCGCATATAGTTAAGTTTATAACTCAGCCATAATTAATTGTACGCTCATCCCTAATAAATGAATAGTATGCCATTTTGAATAATATTTAGTCTGATTATTAAAGTTATGTTTTTGCATGTGGTTTTTTTGGATAACATACACTTCATCTTATGTTGGTACTTTGTTTCGGTTATTTTCTTTGTGTTCGTATGAGTACGTACTCGGATGCTATTATGAAATTTTTAAAGGATATTAAATGAAAGCATTATCAAAGAAAACATGGATTATACAATGCATACATTGTATCAAATTTTATTTAAAAAATGAAATATTAAATAAAAGAAAAATAAAAATAACATTATATAAATGATAGTGTTTTACGATGGTGAACCCTGAAGGTAGTCTCAAACACTCGGGATAGGAAAAGATCTTCGCCTAATCACTCCACAATCATCCAAGTTTTTATTAAGAAAAGAAGTTTGAAAATGCACATGGTACAAGACCAAAGTTTTTAGACTCAAGGAGACAAGAAAGAGAGAAAAGGTATGAAAAGAAAGGGTGGTGAGTAGATCAAGGTAGGTTGACGGTGATGCGCAAGGTAATCGACTTACAAGGGTGGAATACATACAAGGTTAGTGTGGGGTTTAAGAAAAAAGATAAGATATGAGAATGAGAAGAGAGGAGAAACCCTAAGGTATAATCCAAGTTAATGAATTGAAAAATGACTTAGCGTTGGATAAAGTCTTATTTGTTCTCTATTTTGAAATGGTGTTCTATCCTAGTTCATTTTATCTTTCTTAACAAGCAAACAAGGATAAGAAGCAAAAAAAAAACTAAACTATTACATTGTAATGGGGGAAAGAGATACATAATGCCCACCAAGGGGAAAATGAGATGTAAAGTATGAAGGAGTAAGAGAAATGTATCAAACATGAAAGAAGAAAACATCAAGAATCCAGCTTAAGCAACCAAGGCAAAAAGACTCAATCAAACCATTTAAGAAAAGCAAACAAGTATGCAATGCAAACCATGTTTCCAACATGAATCAAAGCAATAAAGAGGCATACAAGTAAACACTCATACACATTTCAAACATCTAAACATGCTCAAAGAAGTCACACAACACAACTCAAGCATTTAGGTAAAATCAAATGACTAGTGCACATGCATACATGCCTTGAAAAGTTAACCAATCATTAATAATGAACAAGCCAAAACAATATGAATCAAGCAAGATGAAAGAAAAGTGAGGTCAAAACCTAATCACGTCATAATCAACACAATTTAAATATTAGAAAATAAGCACAAGGGTGTCAAGCATACATCTCAGCAATATCCAAACAATTGGCAACAACTAGCTCATGTAAAACACACTTTAAATGATCAAACATGTAAGATTAGGGTATGAAGCCAAGATGGGGTAGTAGAATACACAAAAATGTCAATTTGAAACCAAACTCAAGACCTAAAAAAGGATACATAGGCATTATATCAAGACAAGCACATACAATTGAACATGTATCAACCAACACCTTCCATACAAGGAAACAATTGTTCATGTGAAATAAGAGAGGTGAAAATCATACCAATGATCATCAAGACATGTTAATGCAGGGGTATAAGCCAAGTATTCACATCATTCAAGAGTCTCAAATATCACTCAATCACAAGTAAACAAGAGGTCTCAAAACTAGGTCAAACATTAAGCACGTTCATCTCAAAACAATGTCACATTGAGCCATCAAGAAAAAAAATAGGAAAGAGGACAATCAAAATGAAATAAAAGGCTCTAACACATATTATATCCATCAAGAACAAATGAGCAAAAGAATCCAAGAAGAATTGCACAAGTGCATCATCAAATGAGTCATCAATACAAACATAACACAACGATCGAGCATGCATCGAGGCCTCAAAAAATAAATTATAAAATGGTCAATAATGCATCACCAAGACATCACAACATCACTTAAATCCTACTCATGTATGTGCTTAAACATGGTAAAACGTTAGGCTCAAGAAAGCACACAAAAATCCTCAACAATGTAAACCCTAATTCAAGGTTAAAATGGTAAACATCCTTCACAAATAATTAAAAATAATATAGTAAAAATAAAATAAAAATTATAGAAAATATCTCGAGACAATCCACCATCAGAAACCTATTTTTTTGGATTTTAAAAATAATTTTTTCAATTAAAATAAAAATAAAATGGAAAATAATAAGAAAATAAAATAAAATGAGAAGAAAAAGCCAATGGGGTGCATGAGTAATATCATAAACAACACATATCCAGTTATAACACACTTTGGGCCATAAAGTGAGATGTGTGAAAAGCAAAACATGTGCAGGGCCAGTCCAGTTCAAATAACACTTCAAAAACAAAAAAGAAAAAAAACGCCACGCATGTTAATCAATTAAACACATCGGATCCAACTAGATGCCACACAAGCAATCAATGATTCAACGACCTTACATATCAAACGCCGAAGCTAGGGCTCTGGCCGTCCTCTTCGGTGTCCTAGTCGAAGTTGCAGATCATAACATCATAAAAACTTACAAAATAAGACACCAATCTCAAGTATTTTTCATGGTGGTTACGATTCTAAGCTCAAATATAATTTATAATTGCTCTATCACCATGAAAATAAGCCACAAAAATTTGATGCTCAAACTGAAACTTGAATAAACAAGAACAAAACTACCACAAACATGATCTACATTATCCCAGAAGCTTAAATATGCAAAAAAAAGAAAGAAAAAAAACAAATCTAATACATGTGTAGCATATGATAAAATGGTTGAAGAAAAGTTACCCAAAAATGAAGATCTGCAACTTCTGATCTTGCTCCAAACTTCCGCCAAACTCTTCCCTTTTGCTTCTTGAAGCTTTGAGAATGATGAACCAAGCTTTGAAAAAGGATATTCGAAGAGAGAAAAATTTTGGGTGAGAGAGAGCTTTTAGGGTTCTGATTTCAAGAAAATGAAGTGTCCTCTCTCTCTTTTAAGGTTTCAATAGTTTCATCATGTTTTGTGTTTTGAATAAGATGAACAAGATATGAATAATATGACAAGATGAACATGATGTGAACCATAATAATATGAACAATGATATATTGACAGAAAAATAAAGCAAGATAATATTGAATGAAAATTAAACTTAGTCGTTAATTGTCAATCGTTAATCGTCAATGATCGGATGAATCAATTTTAAATCGGGTCCACTGTAGCGCTAAGCAATCATAGCACGATCTATGATAAAGATCGTGCTATTGGAGGCCGCTCTATGATAATTTTTGTGTTAAAACACGATAGAGAAATGATATGTAGATCATTCTTTAAGAATCATGACACGCGAAAAGAAAAGAGAACAGTCTCGTATTAATCACAAACTTTCATCGATTAATCAAAGGTAACCTATCATGATTCCAAAGTATATAAAATGATCCAAAGGATGAATCTCTATAGATTTAAAATAATGAATGTTAAAAAACCTTAACAATCGACATTCATGATATCAAAGACTTCATCGACCAAAAATCGAAATAAAAATAAAATCGAAAAGACAAAAAAATCGAAATAGAAAGATCAAAGAAAAAAATATTAATAGAAATAGTGAATTCAAAATATTTTGCACAAAAATATACTATAAAAATAAATACCAAATAAATCTTAACAAAATAAATTAATTAATAAAAACAATAAATAAAAAAAGAGGAGGGGGCGTTGAAACCAGGTGGTGTATGGTGAAAAACAAACAACACCATGGGCTACAAAGCCCATTAACAGTCCACAGTTTAAACATCATCAATATTCCATCTTTTATTTAAAAAAAAACTATTTAGGTTTAAGAAAATCAATGACCATCATACTTTTTTTAAAAATAGAACAACACAATTTCCCTTTCTTAAAAAGCAAACGAAGCATCTTGAAATCCTAAAGGCATCAGCTTCAAAAACCAATACAAGACCTCTTCCAATAGATTTTAGTGGAAAAAAATTAAAGAAGTTCATGAATAGAACAATCACGACAAAACAAGGGAAGCTCATCGAGTCATGTTCCAACATTCTCGTGACCTCGTTTTATTTCTCAATCTCTCTCGCGTGAGGTATGTCCCAGATCTTGCTTCTTCATCTCTCTCTATTTTGCACAATTTGGGGTTGTTCACCCGCGGCTTAGGTTTATCTTCGATTTATTTTCAAAATTGACCTTCTACCCCTTTCTGGTTTTGATCTGTGTTGGGTTCAATTTGATCACTCTCCTTCTAATTCTGTTATGGAAGTGATTTAGTTTTGTGTCAAAATTTGAAGATGGATTGAAGATTCATGGTTTGAATGGTTGAGTAGTGGATTTTGTTTAAAGTTGTGAAGAATATGAGGGTTTAAAGTTGAAGAATGAAATTGGTTTAAGAAGGTTTGATTGAGGGAGAAGTTGTTGAAGGAATTTTTGCAGCGTAACGACGACTACTGAGACTTTTTTTTTTAAAATGAGTGAGGAAGGATCGCTTTTATAGAGATGATTGCGGGTTTAATGGGATGAAAAATTATGGCGTGGTTGCTAAAATCACTTTGTATGTTGGGTGGATATGTTTTGCGCAAGGTGTTGTGGGAATCACGGTGCTGCGTATTGTTGGTGTATGGTTGATGCGTGCGAGAGGTTTTGCAGCATGTGGTGAGTAACAGTTTTGCAAGTTTTGTGCTGCTTGTGTGGTCATGATGCGTAATGGTTTTGTTACTGAAGGAATGTTTTCATTTTGTTTACAGGTTGTATACATATCATTGTACGTCGCGGGGTGAAGGTACCATTGCTTGGCTGAATTTGTTTTTATCATGTTTGGCTTTGTATTGTGAAATTCGTTTTGTCCTTTGCTGCAGGTTTTGAAAGTTTTTATGTGATGTTGTGCATGGTGTACGTATGCAGGGGAAGACATGGTTTGTGTTGGTTTCTGGAGTGTTGCAACTTGGTTGTTGAGGTGCAGGTATGATGTGCAAGTCTTGTGGTTGTGTGGAGTAGATTTTTATTGTTTCAGAAATCTGTGGCTTGCCCGTGTATAATATTGGCTTGGCAAGTAATACGGTTTTGGATAGTAGCATGTGGCTTATGTCTAGTATCGTGTTATTTTCCTTTTTCCCAAGTTGGACCAACAACGTAAATTGGTTTTGTGTTGTATGATTTGGGAAGTTTTACCCCATACCCCTACACTTATACCTATATCCCTACATTAAAAAAATTTGGACCAAAATATCCTCGTATAAAAATTTATTATTTTTTAATTTTTTTTATATTTTTTTATTTGTTTACCGGAAGACTTTTTGGAAGTCTTCCTGTTCACATTTTTTTAGTATGTTTACCGAAAGACTTTTTGGAATTCTTCCGGTACATATTTTTTTTAGTTTGTTTACCGGAAGACTTTTTTGGAAGTCTTCCGATTCATGTTTTTTTTTTAATTTGTAATTAATATTTAAGATTTATTAATTTTATATAAAGACCAATTTAGTAAATTTTTGAATATTATACTTAAAATATAAAAATTCTATAAATAGAGAATTATTTTCATAATATTTTCTATTTACTATAATTATTAGAATACTAGGATTAAAATCATTTATTTTAAATGATCATAATAGTACAATTTTCTCAAATATCTTATTAATCTTAAACATTAATAAATAAAATAAATTTAAATATAAAATATAAGTTTACATTATTCAATATATTTAATCAAATGAAAACATATGTGATAAATAAATAATGTATTTTAACTTAAAATGATCACAATAAGTTAACTTGCAAAATAATATAAGTAATAAATTAATAATGTATTTTATTTAAAATAATCACAATAATAAAATACGCAAATAATGTGTTTTATTTATAGGACTGATATAATTTTATTGATTATTTAATTTTAAATACTACTATGAATATAGTATTTAATCTATACTTTAGAACTCACATAATTATAAATATAAAAAAATATTGTTTTATTACCCATATTTTTATTTAATTAAAAAAAATAAGAATATAAATTTATTATTTGTTTTTCATTTTCGTTTGATCTTTTTAATTATTTCTCTTTATTTAATATTTTTAATAAAATAAATAATATATTTTATTTAAAGTAAGCACACTATAGAATATGGGTAATAAAACAAAATTTTTTATATTTATAATTATGTGAGTTCTAAAGTATAGATTAAATACTATATTCATAGTAGTATTCAAAATTAAATAATCAATAAAACTATATCAGTCCTATAAATAAAACACATTATTTGCGTATTCTATTATTGTGATTATTTTAAATAAAATACATTATTAATTTATTACTTATATTATTTTGCAAGTTAACTTATTGTGATCATTTTAAGTTAAAATACATTATTTATTTATCACATATGTTTTCATTTGATTAAATATATTGAATAATGTAAACTTATATCCTATATTTAAATTTATTTTATTTATTAATGTTTAAGATTAATAAAATATTTGAGAAAATTTTACTATTATGATCATTTAAAATAAATGATTTTAATCTCATTGTATTCTAATAATTATAGCAAATAGAAAATATTCTGAAAATAATTCTCTATTTATAGAATTTTTATATTTTAAGTATAATATTCAAAAATTCACTAAATTGGTCTTTATATAAAGTTAATAAATCTTAAATATTAATTACAAATTAAAAAAAAATATGAACCGGAAGACTTCCAAAAAGTCTTCCGGTAAACAAACGAAAAAATATGAACCGGAAGACTTCCAAAAAGTCTTCCGGTAAACATACGAAAAAAAATGTGAACCGGAAGACTTCCAAAAAGTCTTCCGGTAAACAAATAAAAAAATATAAAAAAATTAAAAAATAATAAATTTTTATACGAGGATATTTTGGTCCAAAAATTTTTAATGTAGGAGTATATGTACAAGTGTAGGGGTATGAGGTAAAACTTCCTATGATTTGCCCATTTGAATTTTTCGGAAAATCATGGGCCTTTATTTATTTATTTTTTTAGAACTTTTGTAATATAATGGACTTGATGGATTGTGATTTGGAAATTAATAGTAATGAAAAATGAAGATGGAAAAGGAAATGAATTTGGATAAATTGAAATTGGATTAGAAAAAAGAGGATTTGGTTAATGAATGGATTTTAATTGGAAATGAAATCGATGATTGAAACAGTAAATTGAACTTTAAAAGTGGAAAATGGATTAAAATGGTTATGAACATGGATGAATGAACGGATAACTGAAATGGGTAATTGGAGTGGAAAAATGGTTTATAAATGTGAATTTACACTCCATTGATATTCTTCAACAACACATCTGTGAAACTTTCGCATCCAAGTCCTTGAATCTCGATGAACCAAAGTATTCACACTGAACCTTTTGAATAAGTAATATTGACTTGATGAACAAGTCTTGAATTTCTGAACCCTAATGCACTAACTTGAATGCTCTGAAACCTAAATACACCATATGAACTTTAATTGGCACCAAAAACCCTAATCTGATGATCTTCAGACATAAAGTATCAATCCATGCCAAAGTCCATCTTGAGAATGAAACAATCTTCACTTTCTCGACCAAGCTTAAATCACATCCAATCAAACTGAACACTACTACACACGCACACACGCACGCGCATACACACACACACACACCCAACCTTCTAGCCTCAAGTGAAACTCAATTGAACAACACCAAAAACCTGAATCCAAAATCCTCCTAGTTAGGCCACTTATGAAACTTTGAACATTTGATACCCTTGGTGAAACTCAGAGAAACCGACATTGTGCTTTGATAAATTTCTGATAAAAGATGTTCATGGTGACTGAGAATCTAACTCCTGCTTCAAACTTGAATGAAGGTACCTCAAATAAAATAGGAACCCTAATTCAAAGAACCTCTTAATCCCATGCCTTAGGAGCTCAATGAAACGTATGATTGATTATGACCTAATGGGATGCATAGATGATGAAAATGATATGATATGCAAGGATATGGCTAAGGTGAAAACAAGGGAGTGACAAGAAGCATGTAGGGAATGTGCTCTCCAATGGCTATAATGGATTGAGCCTTTGCATTGGGCCTTCTTCGATGCAGAGTTGGACTGGGATGTGCCCGACGGTGGGCCAGGCCCAATCCAGAATAGGAGACCCCCAAGTCGTTGCTCCAAGGCAGGGGAGTAGTAACTTAGAATCGGTTTGTATGTCAAAGAAGGAAAAATAAAATATGCACGAGGAGAGCATTTATTCGGACTCGCGATTGCAGGCTTGCAGAGCTACGCTCGCGAGGGAGCGTGAAAGTTATCTCTCATCCCCGACAACGCGAGTATGTTAAAGTTTTTCGTCGAGTTTCTGCATTCTGGGGTTCTAAATAGTCGTGTGTGTTCAATAATATGGTCATGTTTTGTATTTATCACCGAGGACATGTGCTCATAAGGATGCCAAAGTTGTCTGTGCTCGATAGCATAACTTGTTTCAAGCCTTTCTCCGAGGAGATGTTCGCGAGGAAATGTGAAAGGTTGAGCCATTTGCTAGACATCTTGGGATCTGAACCATTGATAAGACTTGGAACGACGAACCTTGAGCCACGTATCACAGCTATTTAATGCACAATGATGACCTAGGCCTAGGGGTGCTCAAGAGCCTAGGTGACAAGGATTATAAATAGGAAGAAGTGGGGCTCATTTGTTCACTTTGCTCTCACTCTCCTCTCAACTTTCCTTCTATCTTCAGAGTTCCTTTCCATCATTTTCCTCCGTCGCCTCCGTCATCACCAACTTTCTTTGACTTTTCCATTGCTTTCAAATCAAGTAAGCATCCTTCGCCAATTCTTCAATTTTTCTGTTAGTTTTAGCACGTAGATCAGTTCTAGAATGTAGGTTTGCATGTTGGGTTCTGACGGGTGTTGGTGTTTAGGGTGTGGTTTTTCCATCCTCAAGCGCCAACCGCCACCGTACTTTGAGTAAGAAACTTGAAGCCCGTGCATTTCCCAGTGATGCTCATGTATTCTATGATGAAGTTATGAATTTCTCGGTGAGGCCTATGAACTTTTCGGTAACGTTCATGAAGATTTTGGTGAAACTCATGAAGTTTCCAATGAAGCTCATGAACTTTTCCTGGGCTTTGTATCGAGGAGATTCCTTCCCGTGAGGGTTCCTACATGGAAACATTTTGGAGAACTTCATGTCGAGGAGACTCTTCCCTACGAGGATTTGATGAAGAATCTTCGCGCCGAGGAGGCTCTTCCTTGCAAAGACTTTGAGTTTTAACATGTTTTCGTGTTAGGGAGCGGATCCTCGTGACTTCCGCACTTGCTGTTTAAATAAAGGGCTTTTGGTTGGGACCATGTCCCTGCGCCAGTTCTCGCCCTTTCACTTGATTTGCAGTGGAAGGATGGATTTGATTTGATCGTCGAATTCACATCTTCCCTTTTCTTTTCAGGTTAAAATGGACAGTCATGCCGAGGAATCCCACCTGGTCGACACTATTACTGATGTCAACTTATCTTAGGTCGGACCGGAACCCTGGGGGATCATTTCGCTCTTTACCAACGACCCGTCAAATGCCTTCACCATCACCGAGGAACTGGATAACCTCGAGGCTCCAGAGAAATTGGAGGTATACAAGCCCAAAAAGACGGATCATATTTGCTCCACCTTCAAAGGGGAATGTTTCGCGATGTACGAGTTCGTCTTTAAGGAGCTAGAGTTGCGTTTACCGTTCAGCGATCTTTAGATGAAGATCTTTACACGGTTGGAGTTGGAGTCTTCTCAGTTACATCCAAATGCAATCGTGTTCATCTGGGCGTTCAAGATCATATGTCAGTATCTCGTGGTAGGTCCCACTCTTCCCTTTTTTCCGTTGTTTTCAGTTGTAACGAGAATTCGCATACGAGAAACAATGTTGGGTGTCATTCAAGCATCCAAGGAAGTTGTTCAAGACGTACATGGACTACGTTTGTACCTTTAAGGATA